CCACTTTCGAGTATGACTCGACGAATCGCTGATAATATCCAGCCAAACCCATGAAAGAGCGTACATCCGTCGTGCAACGGGGTTCCGACCAATCCACGATGGCTTGGATCTTGTCCGCTAAGGGACGAATGCCTTTCGGCGTGACAAAATGACCCAAGTACTCAAGCTCTTGCTTGGCGAATTCGCACTTGTCGAGATTCGCTTTGTACTTGGCTCGTCGCAAACGATTTAGAACAACGCGCAGGTGTACGATGTGCTCGTCCAACGTCCTACTATATACCAAGATGTCATCAAGGTAGATGAGGACGCTGCGATCGAGCAAGTCGCGAAACTCAGTCGTCATCGCTGCTTGAAAAGTTGCGGGGGCATTGGTGAGGCCAAAGGGCATGACAAACCACTCAAAATGCCCGTACCGCGTTTTGAACGCGGTCTTGTACCGGTCTTGAGGCTGGATTTCAATCTGGTGGTAACATGACTTCAAGTCCAACTTCGAGAAGTACGTCGCGCCGCCTAACCACTCAAGGAGATTATCAATCCGAGGACGAGGGTCGGCGTTCCTTACGGTTTGTGCGTTAAGTTTCCGATAGTCGATGCATAACCGTAAATCTTTGTTCTTCTTCCGGACGAAGAGAACAGGTGCACCGTATGGCGAGCAACTAGGGCGAATCCAGCCCTTGTCGAGAAGATCATCGAGTTGTGCGCGAAGCACCTCGAGTTCCTCTTCGCTCATGCGGTAGATACATCCACGCGGAGGGACGGCGCCAGCCTTGAGAGTGATCGCGTGACGTATGGGCCGATCTGGAACCGTTCCGGTGGGAGCCTTGAAGACGTCTCTATACTCGTCCAAGAGGTGAGAAATGCGTGGGTCCGGCGGTGACGCGGCTGGTCCGTCCGGCGAGGGGAGAGCATGCAAGAATACAAGGCCCATCTCCTCGACGTCATTCCGAGCAATGACGTCGCGAATTCTCGCAACCGAAACCACGTGACAAGCAATCGAAGTGTGAGGGGTCGCGACCGTACATGGGACTAACACTCCGTTCTGATCACGGATGTGAACGGTTCGGTCATGGAAGTTTACCGGATGATCGGCGCTACGCAACCAAGACATGCCTAGAATCATGTCGAACTTGGTGTCGAGGATGTCAAAAGACACCGGCTCGCAAGCAAGTGGCGCAAAGTAGACCGGAACGCCGTCAACGCATCGGTCAATTGACTTTTGCGTGCAGCCGTCCGCGAGTGTAACTTGCGTAGGTTGCGTTTTCCTTCGAACGCGCGGGCCAAGACCTGCGCGGGCCATAAAGGCTTGGCTCATAAAGTTGCGAGACGCTCCGCAATCAATCAAGGCACTACAGGTTGCCTTTCCGATTTGAATGCGGATATAGAGCAAAGGTGCGTCGGTATTGGCGTACCTTTGGGTGGCGTACTCGCGGTCAATCTTCGCAAGATAGGAGCGGAGATCGACAACCGCTACCCCGTCATCCGTCAACGGAGCTGGTACTGTAGTGTGCAAATAGGAGCGTAGAGTTGCCATCAAGGCGTTGCAATGCGGCCTTGGCAAGGTTCTGGTCGAGGGTAGAGGCATCCGAGCGAAGTCCTCTCTCGTGAGCGGGTCAAGCTCCTCAAGTCTTGACCACGCCGTCGAGTCCTCGGAAATCAGTGGCAAACTGACCGGATCACTTGCCAATGGTGTACAGGCTGCGCATACGCTAGCTAAGTGCACGTGGCTTGGCTGGTCTAATGGTGGTACCAGCTGGGCGGCATAATGCTCGTACGTGGCACGAGAATCAGCGACTAACGCATGCTCCCCGGTAGTGACATCGATTGCTAGCAAGGCAACCGGGTCCGGCAGAGTGAGGAGAGACGTCGCCCCTCTCCTTGCGTAACTCAGTTTCCCGAGTTTGCTGGACGGGGTACGCGTGCCTTGCCCTTTTCGGGGCATTGTGCGGTCACATGAGTGACGTCGTTGCACCAGAGGCACTATCCGTACTTTTGACGAAGATCATAGACATCCTTGGTTATCTTGTAAGCCGTCCATGGCTGCTGCCCAGTTCCCGTCGATGCTGTCTCTTGTGTCGCCTTCTTCTTCCGAACTCTCTTGGGACGCTTCGGCGGGAGCGCTGCTACAATTCCTCCATCACTCGAGGATGCTGCTGCAGCGTGGAGATCGTCTGTTTCTTCATAAATCACGGCATTGTTATGTGCCGGACGTTGATAGCCCTACTTAGCCACATAATGCGGCTGGGACTGCCGTTCATTTGCGGCCTTGTCATCCTTTTGGATGACTAAGTTCGCACGATCCAGAATGGCCTGGAACGTGTCATAGTCGTACTCGTTGCCGAGTGCCGACTGCAGTCCCGCGCACGATCGCGAGAAGAACTCGGATCGTTGATTTGGAAAACTCAAGTCGAATCCTGGCGTGGTCACTATCTTCTGCCACTTGGTTGTCCAGTCTCGAGTTGGCATATTTCCTTGAGAGCAGGTGTACACCTCGTTCATGGCCGCCTTCACGACATTGCGGACCATGAACCGGGTGAAC